TTTTGCCAACTAAATGTTTTATACCTTCATAATTTTATAATCATCAGGCTGCTACTAAAAGTAGCAACGGATCTCAGAAAGTTTCTTGCTTCATTTAGAAACAATATTAGCAAGTATTACTCAATGTAATATTTGTAATATACAATATTCTTTTCATGCATTACTCTTATGAGAAAGAGGAAAGCTTTTATCAACAACTCATATTTGGTGAGCTTTAGTAACCAGCAATCACACAAAGAAAATCTAGAAGAAAATTTTCAGCATTACTAAGAACTCCATCAAAATCCATTTTGAAGGTGGGTGAAGATTTTGCTTCCTAGGGCATGCCTCTATCAGAAAAAAAGGCTGCTACAGGTCCTTAAAGCTGCAAAGGTACACCAGAGTTTTGGAAAAACACTATTTGTTATAAACAAATGATTACCTGAATTACCTCAGTCCTATAATTCAGCTCATCGGTGGTTAGAATCACATTATTTATACAAAGTACTGAAGATGGAACAAAAATCCCATTAAGAGCAATTACAATCTAATTCTCACTAATACTGGTAAGTTTTCTTCACTGTAAGCAGAAATCTAAAAATCAGACTGACTGATTTAATACATACCAAGAAAAAAGTATCACACTTTAGGGGCTACAGTCAGGATCTATAGTTTTTATGAACAGACCAGTTTATTATATGCTGTTAACTGAAGCTGTCTCCCATGAACAAATCCCTTCTGTGCTGCCGAGTGCAAAAGAAGCCTTCTGAATTCACCTGGAGTTTCACAAGCAGCGCAATCCAGTGCAAAGCCTTGCTGTGGCTAAGAAGGGTAGTCCCCTATCCTTCCCTGCTCCCCACTTATTTTAACTGTCTCATTTGCTAGAATTAGCTTTCCACTGTCTCACCTCTATGATCCTGTTATATCGGAGTACACCCACACAAACACAAAATGCTGGTAAGGAACTTTATTGCCTATTGCTGTCTTGTTTGGACAGCATTACTTTAGATCACATGAAAATACCCCTGAAAGCATACGAAAAATTCAAGTACTTGTCACAGAATTCGTACAGAGCCTTTTGTTGCTGATAAATTCAAGAAAAAAAGATAAAATTAGAAGTTACAAGTTATATAATTGCAAGCATTTAAAAGCAATTTAGTGATCTTCACTGGGAATCAAAACCATACTTTGGCAAAATAGCCACGCCAAAGCCCAAATTCCAACATATCCCCACCGCTCAAACCTTAACAGCTTAAAAGAATAGCAGTTGTTACTAGCAAGGAAGATTACGATGCCGATGTCACTTGTTAAGTTTACCAAGTATATTTGTTCCCCCGTATGAATACCGCTTTATAAAGCTCTGTATATTCAAATTTCAACTATAGCTTTTTCTACTTCAAGAGGAACAGTCTGTCAAACACTATTAGAGATACAAAAAGGATCTATCTACCAGTTTCCTGACCTTTACGGATGACTTTAAAACCACGGACATAAGATTCAGATATCACATATGTCGGGCAACCTCTTGGTTGTAAGCCAACAATCGAAAGACTCCATACACTAACCACGAAAGCAAAATCAGACTAAATTAACATAAGGAAGGAAAGTTAACACTTTTCCTACCTCAATTTAAGATGTATATAACCACTTACTCACCTGAAGCATAGCTTCTTTCTGTGTTACAGAGAATGCTCTCTCCTCACAGGAGGATGGTTTGTGAGTGGGTGGAAGATCAATCCTGTAGTAAAGAAAGAATGAAATATGACATGCCATGTTTGTGAAGTCCAATTGAATGGTCAGTTAGATATTATTTATTTTAGCTGCCAAATCACCCAACACTCAACATTCAGGGACACACATCTTTCAGTCAGCAATAGCACATATATGGAATATTGTAATGTTAACACATCCACCACTGGCAATAATTCAGCCACACACTTTTTGTAGAAAAGCACCGCCTATAAATTGTTACTTATCCTACAAGGTGTTAAGTAGACTGAAGTCCCCCCCCCACTCCAACTAAGTAGGATTAGGGACTAATGGTATCTATCGTCATTTCTAGGTTATGAGATATAGCTTGAGCAACATTTACTACTACAGCCTTTCTTGGAAAAGCCTTTGAGAAAGCCTTACAATCATTACATGCAAGACTTCTCTATTGTAACTTTCTCAGTGAAAGCAAATGGTTATAAAAAGAATTAAAATGGTTAAGACTATTCACGTAAATATGCTTCAGCTACAGAATTTAAGAGAAACAAACAAGAAAACAGTATTTCTAACCATGTTAGAAATTACTCAGTTGATAGCTCAAGAGATTCAAATGCTGAAACATTTTATGCTAAATGCTACAAGTTATTTTATTCTACTCCTCATTAAGTACATACAGACATGACAGACATTTTCATTTCTCATTCAGCTTAAGTGTTAACTGTATACGGCATGCGTGGAAAGACTTGTATTTACAGATATCGTAACTTTGACGACAAAGCCATCATCACTTTTTATGCATGTTCCAAACAGGGTCTAGACAACCTCCACTTTAACTGACAAAATCTTTTCAGACTTTGTTTGCTTGTTTGTGTTTCACCGTATTGGATGCTTAAGAAGTAAACCACATGTCTGCACCAGAGACTTGAAGAAACAACCAACATTCCAGAAACCACATTAACTCAGTCATTTCTAAGTACACATCTGTGGGTGCTTGCTTCATTTTACACACGTTATCAGGGTAACTCTTAGTGGACCTTCACTTCTGCAAAGCATGGTCAATTTGCTTTCATGTTACACCTACAGTTGATAAACTAGTATTCTGTTGCATCAGTCAAGATGGACCTCTCCCCTGTCCTCCAGTTCAATCGAGGAGCAATTTTCTTTCAAAAACACTTCTGAAGAGATAAAGAATTATATTACATCCGAAGTCATTCTTAGCTTCCTCATTTCTTTTTCAAAAATGCAAGTGACTTTACAATTGTCTACCCTGAAAATACAGCCCAAAATTATGACACTTAACAGCTACTAAGAAAACTTAGACATTTAAATTCCTGTATAGAACAAACGCTTTCTGCGTACTACTTTCAATTAAAAAAAACATCCAACACATACTCACACTTTGTCAAGATAGGATGGCCTTTTTTTCCTTGGGGTCAGCAGCACTGTCACAAAGATGGTAATGATAAAAAGAGCAAGGACTGCTCCTATCACAGCCCCTGCTACAGCAACAGAAGATGTCTGCTTAAATGGCACATCTGCAATGTGATAGCATAGATTACACCTTTAAGAAGTCCACATACTTTCAATACTCAGATAAGCTATTTCAGCATTGCTCCGAGAAATGTTTCTTCCTTCCATGACCAAACAGAAAGTTTCGTCCTGCACTAGCACTCTTGCAGTCTTGGCTCCAGTTACCCAATTAAACAACTAATTGAATTAAGAGAGCTCATGAATCATTAATATAATCTCAAAAATTTCGTTGACTACTTCTAATTAATACTAGCTGCATGCTTTTATTTTTGATTTCAAGGCAAGATGAAGTTACAGAACACATGCTTTGCACTTACACGAGCAAACAACGTGTTAATTCAAAAAGCTAGATAACTATGGCTTTATTGGCAATCTTTCTTTAAAGCCACTGAAGTCTGCAGAAAGGAAAAAGGGAAACTTAAAATCAGGGGAAAAAATATGTACTACTAGGAGCAAAGAACATGCAAGTTCACTAATACTTTGCTTACGCTTATCAAAGCAACCCCTAAGACCATCTATCATATCTAGAACTTCACACTTCAAGCTATGAGAAACAGTAATTTTTATAAATAAATTTTAACAAGGGGGGAGAAAAAGTTTTTTTTTTTTAAAAAGCATTTTTCTTTTGACCTCAGCATTGTCAAATGTGATGTTTAACAACTCTCATACTGAATTAACACACTTGTCAGTCTTTAAAGGTCACACATTTCACTATCCTAGGAATTCAGCAAGTTTAAAATCTCATAAAACTGTGAAACCTGCTAGCACGCTTTAATTCAATATCAGCAATCTCGGTGTTTCAAACTTGCACCAACAGGCTTATAAAGAAGTTGCACAATTGGAATAATTCACATTAGCTTCACTAAAACTTTTACCTGTAAAATATATGTAGCATATAGAAATAATGCTCTGATCTACATTGATTACTGGATCAGAAAGGTAACAGCAAAGGAATTTAAAAATTAACACAGCTCTATACTTGTAGCATATTTCTAATACAGTTTACTTCAGCTATTTTCCTTCAGAAATAATCATATGCTGCGTTTCTCCAAACATCACACAACCATCCCCTATTTAATCTCTTACCAGAGGAAATTTTAGCTATATTTCCTATTCACAGGTCAAAAAAACAAAACCATGCAGTATGTTTCATTAATTACTCATAATTCTAATGCTGTTCTGCCTGCATGTTGGAAAGCTGGACAAAGTCATCTTCTCATCCCTCATTTTGAAGAAAAAACCCAAAACAACAAACAAGCAAAACAAACCACCTTATTTCCAATCTGATAAAGGGATTCCTGTTCCCTTACTGCATATGAAAGACCTGACAGCAATAGTCTCCTGGGATCACTCACGCAAGTGTGTTTAAGTAACTTGAACAAAACTGAAATAAGCGTTTTTGGGACTTTCTTGAAGTTAACGGATAAAGTCATAGATTAACAACTTGCAGGAAGCTAATTCACTCCGGAATCAATGTCGCATACCACCTTCAGTGATCAATTGTTCTATTTTTGCAAAACAGCTTTCTTGGCGTAAACTCCATTTGTCAGATACCAGTCTATATACATAAGAACTACAATTCCCATTTTCTCCTGAATAATGGGCATGTGAATCAGTGGAAGGCTCACTTAACCACTGCATCTTATTGGCTTAAGTTTAGTTTACACTGGGTGCCCTCTTGTTTAAGTGAGAAAGTTGCAGGTAACTAATACACATTGTTAGGTCCAGAATTCATGAAGATGCTTTGGTCTTCTGATCATGACTTCACCAGAAGAGTTTCCTGACCATTTCATGCTGTACTAACTTTACAATGCCTTTTTTTCCTGGTAAATCCTGCTATAATCTTGAAACATCATAAAGCGTTATACTTTCAATGAAAGTTCAGGCATTGAATCTCATTTTGGGCAAAATGACAATAGTCATCCATTTACCTCTGAACACCAGGAAAAATAGTGATATCCCAGCAACATACAGGAACTGAACTAAAGTGCAATTACCACAGAGCTCACTTAATTTGCTTTTTTGAATTGCTTTGGCAAAAAAGTAGGCACAAAAATTCTATCAGCCTAACCAGAGGAACGATCAGAAATCCAGACTACCATGCCAAGCTGAACAAGCCAGAGAGCACCAGAGATGCATGGTGCCAGCTGCACAGCATTTTAAACACCAGTTGGTCAGAAATAGATGGGAATTGATTCAGTCCAAGAAATATGGTTAAAGCAGAGCTACAGCAACTGAAAACAAAAAAGTGAAAAAAAAATTGTTTTTAACGAATGTGAGTCCTAGACAGTGTATCAGCTGTGCTTAAAGTGCAACTGTTCGTATAGCAACTATCCCTATTTATCATTCTTAAGGTTCATACTTTTAAAAATAGTTCCTAAAGACACTTCTTCTATAAGCTTAGGGTCTCCAAGAGGAAATGCTAAAAAGCCCATCTTGAACAGCTTAAATACTTTAATTCCTTCTACCCAGCCTCTGGTTTTATTATGCTTTTTCATTTTCAATTTTAAGAAGATCTGTCAAACATTTTTGAACACTACCTATGTTCCAGAATGTTAACAAAAAGTTTATTCACACAACAGCCATTTGTACTTACAATCAATTCTTTTTACAGCAGACATAATGTACAAAACATTGCAACACGCATAAGCCCTATCCCTATTATCAACTTCAACTCCAAAACATTTCAACTTCTTAACCCATAGGAATTAAATATATATATATATTTTTCTAAAAATCAAAACAAAAAATCCACAGAGACAAAAGCAAGATATCCCATGTGGAGAACAGGTTTATGGTTATGTTTATTTCCAAGTAACACCATCTTTTAAAGATGATATATCAAGTATTTTATTTGAAGAGAGGTATGATCTCTTTATTCCAGAAATAATTTGGATCAGAACCTTCTGCTAGAAATTTAACTCCTTTCCTTGTGTTTGCACTCAAACTACAGATACAGACAATATCATTTGCTGTTGTTCTTGAGACTTTGGTCAATAATGTATCAGTACTCCATTAACCCAAACATAAACTTAAGTTGTTTAGGGATGCTTTTCCATTTGAATTTCAAATAAAGCTGTTGTCTTTAAAAAGATTAAGACATGCAGTCATATGCAATCACAGTGTATTGTCTACAACGCTCAATACAACTATTTTTGTGAAGCTCTAAATGCTGTAAGCTACCAAAGATCATGAGCATAGAAAAGAACTTCCAGCATGAATGCTCATGAAGCAGCCGTAATTATGCAGCCTATTTCATTTTAAAGGTAGCAGAGATTTCTCCCTTTTCAGGTTTCAAACACTAATAGCCTTATTAGCTTCATTTTTTTTTTGAGCTAAACACTTAAAAATGGCACTTCAAAGGATATACTACTTTAATTATGAATTTACCATTGTTCTGTAATTAATCTAAAGTTGTTTTATTCCTCCCTAATCAGGAGAATTAGTTTGGTGAACCTGCTCAAGACAAAGCAGAACTACTTCAGGTGTCAAACGAGATGTCCTACATACAATGTCATTTTAAAGAACATGAACATGTTGTTAAATCAGTATCAATTATTTGCAGGGAAAAAAAATCCACTGCGGTACAGAGACTGCACAATTTATCTAAACTCCTGTTTCATAGATTCTGTAGTTGCACCAGAGAGTGTTTTCACTATATGAAGTAGCAATGCAAGTGTCCACTTCCCTACTAATCATCTGAAATTCTAGTTACCCCCTTCAAAGCAAGTATTGTAACTTATTCAGAAGCAGCGTAAAACCGCTGTTTTAACTTCTGGTCATAAAAATTCTAGCAAATGCTTTGACACCTCTTAGCACGCTTAATGTTTATTGGCACCTGGGAAAATAAGCGAATTCGCATTAGCCTCCAGCTTAGAAATCTATTGGTTTTCTTCCTCGTTGTGTCCAATTCTCCAGCTTTCAAATGCAATGGTTAAGACTCCCAAAGCCTCAGAATCAGGTGTCTCAAATTGTACACTGTGTACTTGCAAAAAAGAGCCTTGTATTCATTAATGAGTTTTGACATCCTGCCAATTACAGGCCTAACAAAATATCTTACTGTCTGTATATATATACACACACTAGCATAAGCTTTAGAAATGAATGACTCAAAAATAATTTTTCATCTTATTCAAAGACAAGCCTTTGACCTGTTTACACAGTTACTCCTCAAAATCTTGTTCATAAGTTACTTTCAGTGCAATGACTTCTTTTAAGTACATAGTTACAAGAAGGCTCATTAAAATGCTAAGAGGTATTCATTTTTGTGCAGAAAAACCTAAAAATAAAGCTTTGATTCTGCTGTAACTCATTTTAATTGGTAAAGTATTTGCTATACAGAAGCATTAAGTTTACCATGGATGGTATCTAGATTGGAGTAATTCACTTAATCTGCAAAGTAAATGCCCCAAAAGATTATATTTGATCACTGCCTTAGGTAAACTACTTTTTAAATCATAAAGCCAAGTCAGCCACTTCTTACTCTTAAACAATTTTGAATGGCAGCTTTAATTTAGCCTTTTTTACCTCTGATGTAGACCAATATAAGCACTCTGCATTAAAACTCAAATCTTAAACAGTAGTACAGCATTGGGGAAAAAAAGCAGCTCAAATACATTTTCCCCAGATTCAACATTTCCATTTGTCAAGTCACAATATAAAAACCTTCAAAAAAAAAAATCAGTTTCAAAAAGTTTATTCCTTCTCTTGTGTAAGTATAAACAATCTGAAAGTGATCAGCCAATGAAATGAACTGTAGGTACAGGTTTAGTTTTCAGTGGTTACTACACATACCACTCCCTCCGAGATATTACCGAGCCATCTATGTGAGAAACAAAGTCTTCTTCATTGTCATCGTAACATTCACCACCCATATACTTCATTCCCAATGTTCCACCTTCATAGTAATCCATTGGTCTTTCGTAACGTTCCTGGTACCTGTTAATATTGTCTATATTGTTCCACTCTGGTTTTTCAGGGTCTTCTAAATAATCTTTAGATATTA